CCCCAAAACCCCAAAACCCCAAAACCCCAAAACCCCAAAACCCCAAGTGTCAGAATGGAACTTGAAGATTGCCAAATTTTAAGAAATCAATTTTTAATAAAAATTAAATATATTATGGAAGCCCAGATCACCAAGAGCCCTAATGATGACAGAGAATACAGATATATTACTCTTGAAAATGAACTCGAATGTATAATCGTGAAGGACAATGATACTAAATAAATCTGCTGCCTGAATGGACATTCACATTGGAGCAGCTCTTGACCCAAAAGAAACACAAGGACTCGCCCATTTTTTGGAACACATGCTTTTTATGGGCACTGAGAAATACCCAGAGGAGAATGCTTACTCAAAATTTATCTCTGAAAATGGCGGGAATGAAAATGCTTTCACAACTCTTGAAGACACTAACTTTCATTTTGATATTGCAAATGAATCGTTTGAAAAAGCACTAGATATGTTTGCACAATTTTTCATCTGCCCCTTGTTCAGTCAGAATTCGGTAGAAAAGGAAATGAAAGCAGTTGATTCAGAATTCAGGAATGCTTTACAATCCGATGCTGATAGATACTTCCAGCTTTACCAACACGAAAGTAATCCAGACAATGTGTTCAACAGGTTCATCAATGGGAGTATCGAGACTTTGAAAAAGGAAGGAATAGTATCGGAATTGAAAGAGTTTCATGCAAAGTGGTACTCCTCCAATCTCATGAAGCTCTGTATCTATTCGAATAAGGATCTGGATGACATGGAAACCATAGTGAGAGACCTTTTTTCACAAGTAGAGAACAAAAATATCGAAGTACCATCTTTTAGTGACCCTCCAGCTTTTACCCCTGAACACTTGGGAAAATTCTACCGAGTAAAATCAGTCTGTGATGAAAATGAACTTGGAATGTCCTTTAATTACCCCTGGTATGGACATGATTATTACTATGAAGTTATGCACTATGCTAGTCATATCCTTGGACATGAAGGTGCTAATTCCTTGCTGAGTGCTCTAATCCAGAAGGATCTAGCCACAGACATTTCTGTGAGCTACGACCATTTTCTAGAGTCTTTCAGCTATCTTGATATCAATATTGTTTTAACAGAGAATGGTTTTGACCACTACGAAGATGTCATAGAGTTAGTATGGGCTAAAATAAACGCATTGAAGCAGGAACTTCCAAAGGAGTATATTTTTAATGAATACCATAATAACTGAAGATTAGCTTGGCAGTTCTATGAGAAAAATGATGCCTACTCATTTGTCACCAACATTGCAGAGAGAATGCACAAGTTCACCTCAGAAAATATGAAGGATGTTCAGTCTACTCTTTACCTCTATCAAGGATTTAACCAAAGAGGAATTTCAAAAATGCTGGAGGGGCTTCTTCCTCAAAATTGAGTGGTTAATTTATACTCCCAAAATCATGGCAAGAAATTATCCAAAGATGAGAAAGACGAGACCAGTGAGGGTGAAGATAGTGGTAGCGATAGCGATTCTGATGATGGCATTGAATATTTGAAAGAGCCATGGTATGGAGTCAAGTATCTCAAGGAAGATTTATCTCCTGAGCTGCTAGAGAAAATGACAAATCCAAGAATATTTGAAGATATTAAACTTGCTGACCCATGTACAAATGTGCTGTTTCCTGATGACCTCAGTGTGGTTCCTTCTTCAGAGACGGATTCTACAACTCCAAATTTGATTGTAAATAACAAGAACATGGAAGCTTGGAATTTGAAATGCACTAAATATAACATTCCAACAGTAATAATCACGGATAATATTTACACAAGCGATTGCAACTTTGTCACTAGCGTTGAAGGAATGGTCTTCTCTCAAATCTGGATTAAAGTGATCAAGGAATACTTCAGAGAATATTCTTACATGGCTGAGCAAGCTGGCCTCATTTTCAGTATCGGCTTTGATGAAGATTCACTTGAAATCTTCTTTAAAGGATATTCAGACAGAATTGAGGAATTTATCTACACTTGCATGAACAAGTTGAAGTCATTTGATGTCTCTAAATCAGAAAGAATCTTCTTGCAAAAGAAAGAAGCTTGGTTGAAGGATAAAAGGAATCTTGCCTATGATGATCCAAGCGAACAGCTTGAATTAATGATGAACAGAGTGATGATTTCAAACAATTTTAATACCCAACACCAGATTTCCGTTGGAGAAGAATTCACTTTTGAGAGATTTGTGATACTAACAAGTCAATTTTTGCAGAATGGAAAACACTTGTGGTTTTCAATTGGAAATATTTTAAGTAAACTAAATCACTAATTTTTAGACTGTGATGCATTGAGAATATCACAAAAAATTCTAGAGATTCTTGATACAAAGCCAATGTCTCTAGAGGAGATCCCACCTCATAATCTCTTCAATCTTCAGGAGAACAAGGAAGTGCATATGCTTTGTGACTGAGAGAACTCAGATGAAGAGAATTCAGCAGTAATGTGTTACTTCCAGTATGGTATAAAGGAAACTGATATTGACTATCTTATGAATTGTATGATGCTTCACATGCTTGAGGAGCCAACATATGATTACCTCAGAACTAAAGAACAGCTTGGATACCTAGTCTACTGTAAACAATGGAATTACCGAAGTATTTTGGGTGGTGCCTTTGTTATCCAATCTTCAAAACAGCCTCCTGAGTACTTAATTAAACAAATTCTAAAATTTATTGATACTGCTAAACAGCTGTGCGAAAGCTTGAGCGATGAGGATTTCACCAAAGCAGTTACTGCTCTACTCTCTGATAGGAAGCAGCCAGAGATCAACCTTGCTACAGTGAAGTATAGAGTTCACTCAGAAATCTGATCCCATCAGTATAAATTCAACAGAATTCAGGATGAAATTGCCATGCTGGAAGACATGATCAAAGATGAAGAGAAGATTAGGAATGGCAAAGATATGCTAAAGAATCATTTTTACAAGACATTCATCGTATGTAGTCTCATCTAACCTCTAGGACAATGTCAAGATCCTTAATTTAGAAATGACTTCTGATAATTTAAAAGAGAAACAGGAGGAAAATTATAAGAGTAACAATGAGACTTCGAGAATTCCTAGAGCTTCTATTACTCTCGCCGATCATGAAGCAAGTAGTGTTCCTCTAATTGAACAGACTGGAAGTAAAAACTTGTGATTTAACTTTTAGCTTCAAATCTTGAGAGTGAAATAGAAAACGAACCTAAAAGATACACAGACCTCATGCTGGAAAGATGGAAACAGTGGTGTAAGGACCAGGAAGCTTTACTTGAGTCAATAGACTCAGAAATGGAAGGATGTTAATTATCAATACATTCCAAACCAACACTCTCTTATTTATTGGGGTTTTGGGGTTTTGGGGTTTTGGGGTTTTGGGG